CAAGACACGGCAGCGCAACTTTTAACTTAATCAAACCCTAGCCATCTTTCCTAAGTCGTTCCCTTCGTCCTCTATCATGTACCTTTGCGAAGAGCCGTTCTTGTAAGTGTTCCCCTGATATTCGACCACATGCTCCAATCATTATGCGCTATCCCTTACATAGTGGGTACGTCGCTTCTCACTGCAGTAATCACAAGCGACATTTTCTGTACAACGCTATTTCTTTAGTGCCACATAGTACTGGTTTTGCCAAGTCGATCGATGTTTTTAGCATGTTTTACCTGCATTTTTTCAACTGATGTGGAAATAGCATGCCGTGCAGTTGGGTGTAGTACCGTTTTGCGGTTATCACTGTGTTGTCTGTAAAAGCAAACGTTTCTAATAGCAAGTTTTATTTATTTCTCTTAGCAGGTGATTATTAACCGTTAAGTTCCTTTGAGCAATAAATTCACCTCAGAATGCGTTGGGATCCAGCTATGCGACAAAGAATTAGGTATCCAATTGTTTGCGAGCAGCCAGAGCATATTTTGCTCTCTCAACTAAATAGGAAGTTATGAAATTCACGGTGTTAATGTTACGTTCATTTTAAACAGTAGCAGTGAATCATGACTAATATGCTGACCTTTCATGAGTATAAACTAAAAATCATTGAAGCAACATAAACCTCAAAGGTTTCGTTTAAAGTCATACTAACCGTGGGCACTTTGTATATAGTAGACAGTAGTTTTCGATACAGTAACTGAGGAGTCGTTGAATTGGTTTACTAAAAACATTGCACAAGATGCTACAGGCTTGTTTCTCAGTCATTTAGATGACAGCTTATCCTGTCGGGTCGCAGAGACAGTGTCTTTATGTTCCCGATCCTGTCATCGTTTGAGCATAAGCTTGTCTATTAACTATGAAACGATGAGTTTGTTTAATTTTATTTTCTTACAGTGATATATGCAATAAAATATTTTTTAATTATATAATACGCATACGACTGCTTTTGCAGCAAGGTAGCATGGGATGTCGTGTCACTTCATTTCATTTGGCTTCAGCTGAGAAATTGGGTGCTTCTTGGCTAAAGAATACACTTCAGTTCTGCTGCCAATGTGCTACCTCACTTCTCAGTAACCCCTCCTAAAATACAAATACAAAAATACATAAGTACAAGTACAAAAATACAATACAAAGTACACCAGTAAACAAGAAAAGTGTTCAATGGAGCAGCAATGCTTTAATAGTTTGTTTACATTAGATGACATCATCAACAGCTTTTTCGGCAAAATCCTGCATGAAAGCCTCTTCAAGACTTTGTCAATTTTCTTCATCTTTTTCTAACGAACTTCGTCAACGAATCCTGCCATTTATCTGAAGGACTTCTTACAGGTCTTTTTCTGTCTTTTGAAAACGAGCCTGATGTCTCTCTGGTTCACATTTATGATGTATCGCAATCTAATCCAATGGGCGGTGCCAAATTTCGCTTATGAGCAGTTAATTCATTTCAGCAAGGAAATCGCCTGGCCGTACTTCAGTGCGATTAGCCGAGAGACGGGCAACAAATCGTTGACGCACAATCGGGACAGCGTGAAGTTTCAGTGTGATCATCACCTGAACTTGTGAAAACTGCTTTCATGTGGCATAATGCATGAATGCAATGCGCTTTTGCCTCTTGATTGCTGACGAAAAATCAACATTGTGTAAATGATAAAAATCAATCGTTGTGTAAATTCGTAAATTAAGAAAGCGAACTTGTGTATCCGAATTAACCTGCCACTAACTGAGAGGAATTAATAAACTTTCCACCAGTCGCCAGTAATGTTGCCTCAGACGTTGCCTCCTAAATTGTTTCGATGATGATTTTAGGCGAGAAACCTTTTAAATGCCACGTTTGTTCCAAGGCCTTCGCAGACAAGTCCAACTTGAGAGCTCACGTCCAAACTCATTCTGGAGTAAAGCCCTTCGCGTGTCGGAAGTGTGGCCGAACCTTTGCTCTCAAGAGTTATCTTTCAAAGCACGAGGAGTCCGCTTGCCAGAGTCGCCTGAACCGGCCAATTTCGTTCGAGAAGATCGACAGCCTTGTGTCGCTGTAGCGCTGCTATTGTTAATGGACTGAACCTTCAGCATCACTAAATTCATACCATTCACTTAACTATGTAAATAAATGTCTCTGCGACGTTGTGTTGGGTTGGACACTGTTGCTATTTGCGGTAGTTCTTTGCATAACTATGGACGATTCACTGTTTTGCCTAATCCTAGTCTATCTCTCATAAGACATGTTTTGCCTTTTCTAGCCGTTCTTGAGTGCCTTCGTAGTTAACGTGGAAATGTAATGTTTTGAATAAACTTTTGCGGGTTTGGTTGCGATTCACCTCTCGAGGAGCAGAGTAACTCCAGCGGTCAACCCATCGAAATGGTAGTAAACTTAAATTAGACTACGGAAGAGCAATTGTTCAGATTTTCGTTAGTCAAAAGAACGCTCCGAAGGTGCTTCGCGGTCAACAAATGTGATCCGTTGAAGTGATTTGATATCAAAGGAAAAATTTTACTGTTTATAACAGTTGGAATATCCGTCTTCCGTGTGCTTCCGTGATGGGCTGATTTATCGTGTGCTTCTTCACGAAGCTTACATTGCGGTGTAAATTTCCAAAGCAGCATCTGCAGCTAAACAGATACATCAACACTTTGTCTGCTGCATCTTTCACACAGTGGTAGCTCACTAACCTAATCTATTGAGCCCGAAAGGTCTAAAAATGAGTAGTCAAGCCATAATTCGAGTTCGTGACCCTTCGCCTGCGAGCTCCATACTGTACTTGCTTGCTTTTTCCAGATCATCACCTTGTGTTGCTAACGTAAGCAGAACGTTTCTGGTTTCTGATGTCCCCTGTATCCATAGTTTTTCAACACTTGCTCTAAGGTATCAGTTGCTGAATGATCAATAAAGGAAATATATCATGTTTATAAACAGACCTGCCTTTAATTTGTTCCTCCATGTTGCATGCTGGCCTCTCGGTTGACATCTGTTGAGTTTAGACTCTACACAAGAAGTTCTCAGGCTGGAGTAAATGATGTATGCTTCATCAGTTTGTCCAACAGGGCCAACCTTTTTTTCTCGATCTCCACATCTACATAGGTCATCTGTGCTCGGAAAAGAATAAAGTCACTCCTTATGTGGTCATGCCATTTAAACTTCACTGTACATCTAACAACTGTCTCCATCACT